CCAAGCACATCTGTGATTTCTGTAGGTACTGCAGGTGAAGGCTGTTGGGTATAAAGGTCATTTGAAATCATAGTGCTAAGCATGGTGCTAAGACTGGGTGTGTCTGACGGGTATACATCTTGACCTGAAGCCTCATCTTCTCCAGAGGAAGACCCTTCAAAGTCATCAGTCTGGGCCTGCTCAGTGGTTTCCTGTGACTTTGTGTCTGGGATAAAAGTCGCAATCTCTGTTCCTCCGATTTCTGTCTCATCAGTCCTCGCATCCAACTGGTGTCCGGTAGCCAGGGTGGGTATAGCACCATCTGCAGAGCCCTCCTGCATACTGCCAACCTCATCATCTGTGGAGTTGCTTGCAGAGCCTTCCGTGTCCTCATCAGTTAAGGCAACATGAGCAACATCCTTGGAAACACCAAGCAGGACTGGAGTTGATATTGTAGAGACAAGGGGAGTGTATGTGGTTGAGACTGCTGTTTCATGTGGTTCTTGAGTGTTGATTCTCATGGCATCTGTAAAAACATAAGAAACTGTGTCTGCATCCAGGCCTGAGGCTGCAACATCATCTGGGTATGCAGCTTGAAGATAAATTATCTTGTCCGTGGTTTCCTCTGGAAAGATCTCCCCGGTTTCAATTTCAAAGGTAAAGGGAGTCATGCTGATGTCTTCTTCCTCCTCTACTTCTGTCTCATTCACATTTCCAGGAGTGGCCGTCTCAAACTGATCTCCTCTGGCCTCCTCTGGCTGCTGTGGTTCAGGTGTTACCTGGATCGATTGAAACAAATTGGCTATTTTTAACAATTGAGAAAGAATGACAAAGAGCCAGTAGCTTGACTCAGACCAGATTAGACTATTTTACACATTCACGGAGAGGGCGTCTGATTGAATGATTCGAATGAATTCGTTTGCTGAAGACACAGCTGTGTTTACTAGCAGTGATAGAAAAAAATGGGAGAACACACAAACACAAACACAGACATACATATATATGTATATTGGAGGATTAAACTAGAATTATTTAGTAGACATATCAGTGTATAGAAAGTACCTCATGTTTTCCATTGACAAAGCTGACTATTTGTGCCATACCAATCGGAGGCACCTCAAGGGAAGTGATCTCCCCGCTGCCCTGGATACCTTTACTGGCCATCTGGAAAATGTCAGAGCCGTTCACAGGCTGGTTCAGGAGGTCCAGGAGACGATTCACTAGAGGCAGATGAGAAGCAGCCATATAACACATCAAGGCAAAAAAAAAAAGAAAGAAAAGAAAAACAAGCAAGAAGTGTTATGATTTTATTCCTTAGTTAAAGTGCAATGTCAGTACCAGGCCACAGCCTCTTGGGAAAAATCAAATAAATCACCATACAGCCTCTATGTTAAAATGACTAACTTTAGAGCAAATTTAAAATTGTTTGCAGCCTGGTAGAAAAAAGTTTTGCTTATTATATTTAAACTAGATCATTTGGTATTGTAGCATAAAGTCATGTATAATGAAGGCCTCGGAAACACAGGTCTAAAGACGGGTCAGTCATGAACTAGCAACCAGCAGTTGAGAGGAAATACATATGTTCCTAGACAGGTTGCTGGCAGTTGATGTGAAACTGATTGCTAAAGCCCCACTCGCACAGGCTAAAGATCAGTCAGCGATCCCAAACAACAGGTGACATTCTGGTGGTTTCGTCATAGTTAAGTGTGCTCTTGAGCGAGGGAATCACAGACAGCAGAAAAAAAGATGGATGTATCCACCATAACATCATATGTTGTTATGTTAAGTTCTGTTATAATGCGTCAAGCTAGACATTTTTGCTGCCTTAAACTTTTAAAACTCAAGACCAAGGGTCAGATTTGACTGTGATACTGACAGACATGCAGTTATAGTTAGAATCAAGGTAGCCAGTTTTAAAGCATATCTTGCTTACTAAGCTTTAAAAATCAACGTGATCGAGACCATAGACTCATCAGAAGAGTTTGTACTACATTCACAAAATCCAGCCAGGGTGGCTTCACCACAGACTACAATACATTTGGAAATCTTGGTTTGCCATCAGAATCCAAGCTTAAAGGCTTCACTTCGAAGACACACTAGCTATGGTGATCTTTTCATCGTAAACCTGCAGAGGTTTTTATATTTTTAATTTTTTAATATTCCTGATGACATTTCTTCACCTTAACATCAGTAAAGCATTTGAAAGCAGAGCTTTTGCATTGTGGTACTGCAACTTCAGTGAAGGATCTAAGATCTTACAGCTCTGGCACAAACCCACAGTAGCGCATTTCTGATATTTGTTAAAATGAGCCAAAGAGCATATTCGGATGGTTAACAGTTAAAAGTCTGAGTTTCCTATGATTAAGGTCAGTCTGTGCCAGCGGCTTCTCTCAAAACAATGCATGCTTGTGTCTCTTCATTAAGACTTTGTGGTACACATGGAAGCTATACAGAGGGGAAGCAGAGTATGCAAATGTATACAAAGTCATAACAGAGAACTTACAGACCTTAAATTGAATAAATATATACAAAACTTCAGCAGAAAAAAAGAGTTGACCAAGAAGCATGCTGTTACTGTTAAGTGACTAGTTAATTGGTCCATGTCAGCCTCTGTGTCACTCTGAACTTGACACCACATGAAGAAGTCATTCTTCATTGTAACACTCAATGGTTCAACTTTCCTAATTTCCTGAGGATATGGAGACTGAGAGTTGGAGGGCCTCATGTGATGGTATATTACACATGTAACAGAACATGCCTTCATTATTTTAATAACAAACACAACTTCTGGAAGATGGTACCACTTGGCTAAGGGTAACAAACACATATGCACTGTAATCTGAATCAATGATTAGTAGGCTCTGGGCAGACAGGGCCTCTCTCTTGTCAAGTGCTATTAACCATTTCCAGGCACAAAATATGCCAAAATCAAAGATCTAAGCAAGCTGGTGAAAATACAGTGTCTTTGTTTTACTGCTGTAAATCCCACTGCATTCACTGCAAATCACGCCCTACATCTCACATTTGTCAGCAAGTGATTTTCATTTTTTAATTATAAATATGTACTTTTGATATGGTTGTAATTCGAACAGAGAAATTTCTCTTCTCTCTAGAGAACCTAGATTAAAGACACAACACAGGACCTACTGTGGTCATATCCAGCCTAAT